TAATTTGTCATTTTTACTCCATTTATGTTTTTTCAGTTTCAAAATTAAAACTAAAGTGGTTGAAACGGTACAATGAACTTTGGCAACACTTATTTTACTTATATTTACAAATGTTTAATTTAAAGCAACAGTTAAATTTAAAATGTAAGATTTTTACACTGCGTCAAATTACATCAAATCCATATGAGGATCTTTAAAGGGGTCAAAGGTGTCCACAATCAGACAAAACATATGCAATATTTCTCAGCATTAAATGTATACAGGATGATTTAAAATGTATTAGATGCTTAATATATATATATATATATATATATATATATACACACACACACACACACACACACACACACACACACACACACACACACACACACACACACACACACACACACACACACACACACACACACACACACACACACACACACACACACACACACACACACACATACACACACACACACACACACACACATACATACATACACACAAATTCCTGTGCACAGATTATTTTGTATTATTTCTCATTTTTATTTACTCAGGCTAACAAGTATTGTGCTTCTAAATTAATCCATCTATGTATATAAAAGCTAATAAATGTTACACACTTGTAATATCCCAAGTCATATAATCTAAAATAATTTATGGAAATAAATCATCTTTGAACATTTAGAAAATACAGTTTGTTAGGAAACAGAATTTAAGAACATATTTTAGACTTTTAGGTTACAAGGCCATCATTCACACTCAGTCACTGCCTGGAGCAGAAGCTCATCAGGTACCTCTTCAGTGGCCCTTTCTACTTCCTGCAGAGCTTCCAGATAAGCAGGGTCATCAGGCCACTCTCCCCAATCCTCCGCTTTCTCAGCCTGAGGAGCCGAGGAGGACTCTGTTGAATCAGTCCTGGGTACAGAGCTGTGCGCAAGCTCAATGTTCCCCAGTTCATCCGTTAAATATGCCTGATCCTCTTCATCCTTATGTAAAGAAAGGTGTAAAAGTCAACACACAAATATACATTCAAACTAATGTATGGTTATGTAAATTACAGGTGTCTCCATCCAGATTCCAGATGAGTTGAATCCTGACTGACCTCCATCAGCAGGTGGCTCATGCAGACCTCTTGAGGCAGAGGGAAGCCTGTAAAAACATAGAAATGCCATAATATTACAATCTAACCCACTTAAATGTTATATCATTCCCCACAAATGTTCCATATCTAGCCACATCTTAAAGTGTTATTTTAGCATTATTTATATACTATAATAAAAATTATTATTATTTTGAATTAACTTTTATGTTTTAGTTTTCTTTTGTCATTTTTATTAGTTTTTTAAATTATTTCTTATATCTGTTTGTCATTTTACTACTTCAGCCTGAACGTATTTGAGTTAGTTGCTGAGGCAATATATTCATATTTTATTTCAGCTTTACAGAAAATGATGATAATATGTTTTGTTAACAATAACAACACTACATCTTAACAGATTCTTATCTAGAAGCAATATCACATCTATAGCAAACACTGTCACATCTAGTGGCAGTACAAGCTATAGTAGTAAAGCTATATAGTAGCTAGAAAGTAAAAGGTTTTATGTGGTGCTATTTATTCTTCTGTGGAACGTACTGGAGGATCTGTAGTTCTGTCTTCTGCAATCAGGGTCATGGCATCTTTGATACCACACTTCCTCTTTGAGATCCACCACAATTCTGTCAAAAAGAAGAATAAAGAGCATCCATAATTGTTACAGACCATCAAACAGACAATGTAAAGTAATGCAAATCAAAGCAGTACAGACTCACATGATGTTATTGCTCTTGTGAAAGCGCTTCACGTTGTGGCACCAGCGGAATTTCTCAATATCATAAACCAACAGCTGTTCAGATGCAAAGTAGTTCCATCGCCGGATGCCTGTTTGGGGTAAATGTGACATTCAGTTCACAAAGCTTTCAGCTGAAGTAATTCCTTTTGTGAAAAAGTGCGTTGAGTTACATGAGGGACAAACAAGTTTCTTTTATTTGAAAGAAACTGAGGTACAATGAAAGCATGGCACCATCTCTTACTTCCTTGAATGCGATCCTTGCACACAAGTGTCAGCACAAATTCATCCACCTCTTTAAAAGGAGACGGCTTCTGTTCACCCAACAGATCTACAGTATATGGAGAGGGCAGAGTGAAAAGTGTCCACTTGTAGTTAACTGTCAATGATGTGAACAGTAAAGCATGACATTCAAGCAGGGTAAATGCAGTAAATGCACATTTTAAGTGAACCACATTGAGTTAATTTGCTCACAAATCCTATTCTTAGAAACCACTGATAGCACTTGGGGGTGTTAATTTGTATTTCTCATTACCAGAGCTGTGTGACTCTATCTGAAGGGTCGAACACTGAGATCCTGCTGTACTCTTCTGTGGCATATCATAAGTCAAAATCCTCTGTCCTGTGAAACTAATGCAAAACAGATATGTGTGTTAGTTAGTGTGTGTAAAATTCAGTATTCTAAAACAAAGATTCAATCACAAAAAAAGCTGGCCCCACCAGAATGCGGATAACATGTTTACACAAAGATGTAAAGATGCATACAAATAACCTGATATTGGTGATTAAGGAAGCTAAAAATATGTATTCTTCTTTTGTGGTGTGCTTGGAGGGCTTTGGGACAAACTTGTTGTCTTCTGCCACACAAAATGCTGCATTCTTTCCCAGTTTGGAGGACTTGTAGAGACGGAAGTTTCTGTTCTTGGTGTAGACTCCTTCAAAAGAGGACAGAATGTTATTAAAATGAAGGACCATTTTCTTGTCCCTTACATTAATTTGCAGTGTACTTTAAATCGTATATATATATATATATATATATATAAAAACTACATTCTGATAATATAATTTTAATGAAGTGTCATTAAGTGTAATTAAAGAGAGTACACTTTCATGGCAATGTTTTTAAACAGTTAAGTACACTGTATAATAATAATGTCAAATTAAAAGTTTTATTTTAATGTTTATTTTAAATCATGTTTTAATAAAAACATGATTTTTGTCTTGATTTAAAGAAGTACACTGACTTTGATGTGTTGACTAATATACTAAAGCACACATAAAGTTTTTGATTATAATTTTAACTGTTGTGTTATTCAAAATTACATTTAAAATAACTATATTTTAAATGTACTAAATTGCAAGTTCATCATTACAAAGGTAAATAAAATAAAAAATAAAAAATTTAAATACACAACATAAAATGACATTAAGGTTTATTGCAGATTACCATAAATGTACTTTACTTTTAACATATTTCAAAGATAATAGAAGTAATTATGAATTTAAAAGTAGTCATGCAACTATTTGAATTTTATATAAATGTAAATTTTGAAAGCAATTTAAAATTTTAAAAGCATTTTCATTTAATTGTAAATAACATGTAATTAAATGTCAGAAAACATTACATTCTGTTCTCACTTTTAAAATATATTCTTTATGTAATAAGTACTCTTATTCATTTAATCAACAGCAAAGAAGTTGCAGTGAACAGTAGTCCTTTAAAGTCAATTGTGTCATTGAAACAATACATTTTTCAAGACTTTGTAGACTAAAGAACAACCTATTCATTCTTACCCAGGTCAACAAAAAGTTGTTCTTGTCCATTTTTGCTCTTCACTATAAGAAAGTCAAGATCCTTCTCTTCATACTTTCTTCTCTTGGCCTGAGAACCATCCACATCATCTCTGTTCTCTCTTGGACAGACTTCTGTTGTAGGTGCCTCTGGTTTGCTTTAAACCAAATCAAACCAATATGATATTATATCAGAAACAGAAGGATGTAGAAATGTAGAACACTGCAAAAATATAAAAGATGAGTTTGTGAGAAACAGATTCAGTTCTAAGTTCTGAGTTTGGTCACAGCTTCCAATATTTGTCATCTCACCTTTTTTGAAGGCTTTTTAGAGCAGGATGCAGGATATCATGAATAAATCGCCCTGCAAACATGCACACACACATCACTATCACAGACTGCAACAAATATATCTGCATCAACCACCGTGTAATCACTCTTTGTACATGTTGATGATATGACAATGACTCACCTACATGAGAGTTGTCTTTGAATGCAGCACTGGGAAGCATGAAGATAAGATGGCGACTAAACTTCTCAGAGGTGCTGGAGTCTAGATTAAGGACATCTCTTGCAGAGCAGCATAGACCATAAACCTCCTCTAGCTTCTCACACACATACTGTTTTTGTATATGGAGGAACGTTTTGAAAACCGTAGTTTTTGATGTCCGCTTACTACATGCATTTTTTATTCCTGAAAATCAGCTATTTTTTTTAGTATAACACTATTCAAACGTTTGGGGTCAGTAAGATTTTTTTTGTTGTTTTTTTAAAAAAAAAAGGTCTTTTGAGCTCACCAAGGCTGCACTTATTTGGTTAAAAATACACTGTAAACAGTAATATTGTGAATTATTATTACAATTTAAAGTAACATTTTTTCTAACTTAATATAATTTAAAATGTAATTTATTCATGCAACGGCAAAGCTTAATTCTCAGCAGCCATTATTCCAATCTTCAGTGTCACGTGATTCTTCAGAAATCCTCCTAATATGCTGATTTGGTGCTCAATAAAAATGTCTTATTATTATAAACGTTGAAAGCAGTTGAGCCGCTTAATATTTTTGTGGAAACAATTATACATTTTTAAAAAGATATGTTTTGAACTTGATATTTAACAGAAAATCTTGAATAAAAATGCATTTATTTGCAATAATCTGAAATCAAAATCTTTTGTAACATTATAAATGTCTTTACTGTAATATTTGTTCACTTCAATATGTCCTTGCTAAATACAAATATAATTTCTTTAAAAAAAACCTTACTGACCCCAAACGTTTGAAGAGTAGTGTATACTTACCTGGATTAGTTTTGACACCATCATCTTGCCGTCCAGGTGTGTGTTGGAGGCTTTGTCGAACTCTAAGTCCAAGTAAAGTTTGCAGACGGCCCCTTCCAGAATGACCTCATAGCAGTGCATCAGAGACTGTCTGTGAGTGCTGAAGAGACAAAGATCTCTCATTCACCCACAGCAATGCCTCTAAGTGCATGCACATTGTATTAAAAGTGAAGTAAAAGTAAATTATTACCGACTACTGATTACAGTTTTGTAAAATTCCTCATCTGTAGCAGATAACTTTCTTTAAGTAACTTTCCTAAAACTGATTTATACATATCATTATGTGTCGCAGGTACCTGTAATAATGCCAAAGTTCACTGTAGCTGGTCACTAGGAAAATCCTCTGTCCAGCATCACTGCCTTCCTTCTCCAGTGAAAATAAATGCACGTCCTGATAAAGACATAATAAGAGCCAAACACTTTAAAAATAGCAAAGTTATACCTCATTTAAACAGATATGCAACAGCTTCTGTCTAGACCTGTTTAATGTGCTGAGTGAAGGCGATGGCTGCGTTCTGCCGTGGGAAGAGTCTCCAGACAGAGGAGGGCTGCCATGGCCGGGACAGACGGGGCTTGTACGGACAGCTCAGAGGAGAAGACTGAAAAGATGAGGCTCTCTGTTCCACAGACTTCAGCCTGTCCTGCCATTTTCCTCCTGCCATCCTTGCCTCATTAAATCTCACTCATGCTCTGTGATGTGATCAGCAGGGGACAGTGAAGAGCTCAGGAGAACTGAAGTCACCTGCAAGCAAATAAAAGTCCATCAGCAAATACACAGCAGATCATAACAGATTTCTCTAATATAGGGATATTATCAGGCTGTAATATGAATGGTGTGCATACTAACTATCAATACATATGGAGACAGACAGAGAGAGAAATACAATTTTACTGGTTTCGGATGACAGACAGTAACGTTAGATATAAAACGTATACAGCAGGTTATAACATATACAATGTATTCTATGATATTTATATATTCAGCCCCTGTACAAAGAGTACATTTAAATAATGAGTGCTACACCTAGTTTGGTCGCTTACTTGTATTCTTCCTTGTGTAGTCCTTTTGTTTTTGTACATTTACAGTCTGAAGCGTTTGAACGCGCGTAACTGCGCGTCATAGAAACGAAGCGTTGCGCATGCGCTGGATTTACCGAGCGCGAAACGGAACTGCTTTGAGTCATGAATATTCATAAGTTGACAACCGCCCTCGTCGTTTTTGACGTAATTTTCGTTTTTTTATCTAATTGTTTTCATGTTATATTTTTGTAGATTCATACTATTTATGCATGTTGTTGTACTGTTATTACATAAAGTTGAATTAAAACGAAATGAAAACTAAATTAAAAATAGTTACCTAATTAATATTCATGAGCTCCCCTGCGTATGTCGCCAAGTATGCCGGGATTGCTGTCCCCCAGTACAGCGGCTATTGGCGCGTTATTTTGAACGAAGTATGGAGTTGATACGTGCGCTGCAGTTATTAAAATTAAACAGTGTGTCTACAGGTATGGTTTAATTTTTGTCACTAGCATGTCCTAGAAACAATGGCTAAATTACTTTTGAGATCCACTGTGTGTATTGTTGTAGTAAACCTCGAAATATGTTGAGTTGTAGCTGACGCTGTCATTTCGGGGGTTTGTTTTGGTTTCAGTTTATGGTTTGTTATATAATATGTGACATTTTTACGCAAAACTTTTTTCTTTTACCATAGCAGAGAAACGTTAACTAGCCGTTGAAACTGTCACAGTGTTTATAATTAGATTGAAAACAATCAGGGTGACTATATCACTATATAGTCATACTATGTATATCGCATAATCACAGTCTGTGTCAACTTAATGAGCAGCCTGCAGCATTTATGGGCATTATTAACGAGACAGTGTACATATATTGTTGACTTGTTGACATGTTTTAGCCTGGGTGGATGCAGTGTGGGATTTCGAGTTCACCCACACAGACTCTCTTGACCCTGTTATTGAGGAGGAGATAAAAGAAGACCCTGATGTTTTCAAAACAATTTACATGCAGCTTTTGCCCTTCTCCAGTGAGGATGATGACAATACACAGGTATAACATGTGATGATGCTGTGATTTCTTTCTGCTTCACGCCACAAAATAGTACATCTGTTTGCGATGCAGGCAGTGTAAATGTAACTTGCTTATGATGTATTTTTTCCCTGCAGAGTGTCTGGGTGGTGTTTGGTGAGAATGGTGTCTTTGCAAAAACTTTGGTGGCTGTCCTTTCCTACTTCATCCTTAGTGCTAAAACCAAAAGTCCCAGTCTTGAAAAGAGACTATGTGGTCTACAGGCAGCCTCTCTATACTTGTTGCTGTTAAAAATACCTGGTCAGTTTCCATCCCTTGCATCTGGCTGCAGTGCGGAATTCCTTCCTAATGCATGGCATGACACTGATTTCAGGTTGTTAGGCCCTCATGAGTTTATTTTGTGTTTTTTTCTTTTTGTCCATCTTTAGGGAGTGTTGCGAATAAAGTGTACCATCAGATTCTTTTTGATACTTGTCTGAACATGCCTCTGAAATGCTGGCCTCAAGACTCTAGCAAGAAACGCAAGAAAGATTCTTTGAAAAGCTCTCAAGGTGATACCAAAACTGGCAAACGATCCAAACCCCCAAAGAAAGTGTCAGAAGAGGTATAGAGTTTTAATTTTGTTTGTTTGTATATGTGGCATTTACACTTATCATCTTTAAAAGCGTTTTTTCCTACTCTGTCAGTGTGACAGTGGTGTCATGTATTTTGGTGTTTTGTTTCCCAACAGATGGAGATTGATGATGATGAAGAAGAGGGGGTGTACTTTTCTGCACAGGATTTGCTGAAACTAAGAGAGGGCATTGTCTTGCTGGTTCGCACACTTCTGAGACTGCTCGAGAGATTTTCTCTTCGGGACAAACCTCAGAGTGCTGACAGCTGTGTTCAGGTCAGTCAGTGATGACTGAATGATCAGTAAGTTCCTCACTCAGCACTTGTGTGCTACTTGTGGTTGTGTTGCGGATTTGTGTGAATGTTAAAAGTAGTTTTAGGTACAGCTGTTAATTTTTTCTGTTTTCTGTTAGCCAGTTTGAACCTCTTTGCAATCTTGAGACTATTATGTTGTTAGATAATCAGTTCTCACATAGCATATAAAGCAATGTTTTTGTATAGATCTGAATACGGTTGAACATTTTCACACATTGATAATAACTAGTGCTGTCAAGCGATTAATCGCATCCAAGATAAAAGTTTTTGTTTACATAATATATGTATGTGTACTGTGTACACTTAATAAGTATATATAAATACACACACATACAGTAAATATTTTGAATTTTTTAAAACTTTTTTTTTTACATTTATATTCTTATATTTTATATTATATATAAATATATTTAACAAACATAACATATTTTTCATAAATATATACATGCATGTGTGTGTATTTATATATACATAATAAATATACACAGTATACACACATATTATGTACACAAAAACTTTTATTTGGGATGCGATTAATTGTTTGACAGCACTAATATTAATAACCTTTGAAACCTTTAAAAAATTACTATTTTTACAATTATATTTACAGAATGCTGAGATTTTTTTAAATATTATTTTCATTTACTTTCAGCTTTTCACTGAACTTACCAACTTTGAGCCAGTCATTGGAGATATGTCATTCTCTCAGGAAAGGTAAATGCAAAAGAAAATGAGAAAGATGAGAAAATGCATTTCAGCACTACTTTTAGTATTATTTAGGTATTATTTATTAATATTTTGAATTGGCTTTTATTTTTGTTTTAGTCATTTTATGTGGTTATAGTTAAAAAAAAAATAAAAATAGATATTTAGCTTTAATTTGTTTTTATTTCAGTTTTAGTTCTTGTAATTTTAGCATTTCGACTTAAAACTTATTTTTTAAAACGTACTTTTATTTCAGTTTGTTGCCAAGGCAATATATCTAATTTGCATTTGTTTTTCAAGTTTAATTTTTTCGTCCAATATTTATATTCATCTTAAACTATTTTATAATAAGCTATTCTAAACTATTTTTTTAGATCAAACTATTTTAGTATAGTTTTAGTTAACAATATCAACTCTAATGCATTTGTTAAGAGTCTTTCACAAATAATTTTTATGTGTTTTCAAGGAGTGTCGACCAATTAAAGAGTCTGCCTGAGCTGTCCTACCATGGACTGGGGCTACTTTGCTCAACCATTCATGGTGAAGGAGATGAGGTGAGTATCGGTTACTCCAAAAAAACACTGCATTTTAGTTGCATGAGTTACATTAAATTGCTTGATCGTTATGGGTGTTGAATTTTACAGTGCCGTCGCCGAGTGTTCCGCAAACTACTCTATGTTATTCTAATGATGAAAACACAAGAGAGGTCCAAGCCATGTCTCCTTGCTCCATCACAGACTGTCTGTGGTGCCAGAGACCATGCCATACTTTTCATTAGGTTAGTAACTGTTTATTCCATTCTTCCTGGGGTTCCAGTAATGCTTCATGTAGGAATATTTATGTTCTGTTTTTAAAATTACATTAAATTTCTAAACTTTTTTTTTTGTCCCATGCTGTGTGTTCAGCATTGATTCTGTGAGTTGTTTATATCTGAATTATGTGTGTCCTGTGTTCTAGTCATATTGTTGATAAGCAGAGGGAGGCCACATTGCCACTTTTACGGATCCTTGTGCAACACATCTGCCATCAGGTATATTTTATTTTAAAACAAAATTTTAACTAAAAATGAATTGCTTCATTTCAGTTATGTCTCAGCTCTCATTGTCATTCCAAACCTGTATGTTGTTATTCTTTTCATGTAACATGGATATTTTTGAAGAATCCACATCTGTTGTGGTCCAATACATAAAAAGTTCTATAAAAGTAGTTTATATAGCTGTGTGCTATTTTCCATGTTTTTTAAAGCAACAGACAGAGATTTATGTAATTATTCGCTATCAAATCATTCATGAAAATCAATAGGCAGCTCTCAAATCAAATATCTTGAGACCAAACATTATTACATCAAAGACCTGAGTGGAGATTCTATATGATTCTCTGATTGAGTTTTACAGGGGAAAAAAACAGCATCCAAATTTGGAACAACAACAAATCTTTTAGGATATTTCTGTCATTTGCTCACTTTCATGTCATTCTTAACCCATAAGACTTCTGTTAATCTTCACTAATATTTTTAATGAAACCTGTGAGGTTTCTATCCCTCCATTAAAAGTCCAGGTAACTTCAACTTAAAAGATCCAAAAACGTGACTCTGTGTTTGTGTGTGTGTTTGTTTCAGATGGTGGAGAAGTCTGAATATCGAGCCAGTGGAGCACAAACTGTTGGGAAACTGATGGCTAAGATGCCGTGTCAGGACTATGCAGCCATTGTTAAGTGGCTCTATAGCTACTCCCGAAACAACAAGGTAAACTGTGTGACTCATCATGTCACAGCCCCATGACTATTTTCATTTAAGCACAATTTACCATGTGCACAAATTATTTGATATTTGTCAATGCTCTTGTCTGTTCCTGATGAATAACAGTCCAAACCTCTGTTCAGGTGGCATTCAGAATGTTTGCGCTTGATGTTGCCATGGTCCTGTTGGAGCAGAGTGAGAGGGATGTGGACGATACAGTGGACCCTGAGCTGGCTGTGTTCCTGCCTCACAGGTTTCTGGTGCACAACATCGTCTACAATCATCGTAATGATGTTTCCCCAACAGTCAGAGGTCACGCGTTGCACTGCCTGGCACAGTGTCTGGAACTTGGTTCCCAGAATGCTACAAAATGTGTTCATGAGCTCTTTTCCAACAGTATGTATATTACTACAGTACGGTAACTGTACTGCTCTGTGTAAAATGTTTGTATATGAGTGAGTTATATTATTTATTTGTAACAAGCAGCATGTTTGAATACTGAATAAGCTCATTCTTTTCTTATCAGGTGCTCAAACTATGTTGGAGTCAGGCCGCTCTGAGCGTAAGATCATATTTCGGTATTTAAAATGAAATAAGTGCGAGGCATTTTTATAGTCAGTGATGGTTCAGTTTGAGTTTTGTTTTTCAGAAACTCTAAAACGAAGAGAGACTGTTCAGAAAACCGCTCTGACCTTCAGAACCATTGAGCTTACAAAACACAAG